CATGGGCAGGAAGTTGGCGTTCCAGATCCAGCCGTTCTATAGGAGTGTTCTAAAATGTGGAATGTCTCTTCTTGAGACCATGCCAAAATGCCTTTCTTGAAGAACACAGAAGGGAAAGCCAGAATGAGACGCTGCCCTTTTGCAGTAAAATACATTAAAATACAAGTTTAAATGTTTTGTTAATTCTTCTTTTTTCTCTCTCCTTACGACTGGGCATCTTGGTAGGAGCTGACCAGACTGCTGGGATTAAGAGAGACCTGGCAGGTCGCTGTCCTGGAGTGGCTGATGTCTGCATCTGCCAGAGGGGCACAGAGAGGCAATGGCAACTCCTGGCCCAAGGCTACACAGATAGTCATGACCAGGACTCCAGGGCAGCACTCCTGGGTTCTGGAGTCTTCTCCGCAAGTGGGGACTGTAGATCCCAGATTTTCCACCATGGTCAAGGTTTGCAACATCCTGCCCTGCTCTTTTCATAACTGCATTCCTACTTACCAGCCCATGTGTGTCGTATTTTGGTTTGGAAAACACAGTCATCATCCAGCATCACAATGCCTCCCTCAAATGTCCTTAGAGGAATGAACAGATGGCAAGACCTCTCAGCTCATGGGGTGGGAAGGAACACAGTAGGGCCCTTTGCTGGGTGCCCCACAGCTTAGTCAACCACTGGATGGACAGCTTTTCAGCCTTCAGCCAGGCTCTGAGGGGCTGGTCCTCTGTGAAATGTGGTTCGAGCTGATATCCCTGTTATGGGTCACTTTAGGTGTCAATTTGGCTAGGCTACTGTGCCCATTTTTGACATGTGATTAACATTTAAATCAGTAGATTTTGAGCAAAGCAGCTGATCCTCTGAAATGTAGTGGGCCTCATCCAATCTGCTGAAGGTCTTCACAGAAAACACATGTTCCTGAACAGAAAATAATTCTGCATAGCTGGGATTATAGGCACGCGCCACCATGCCTGGCTAATTTTTGTATTTTTAGTACAGACGAGGTTTCACCATGTTGGCCAGGCTGGTCTCAAACCCCAAATAATGGGGCTGTCGTGCAGATCCCATGGGACGTCCCAAGATCAACTCTCTTGGGAATTTTCAGCCTACTGGCATGCAGATTTCTGGTCTGCTAGTCCCCCTAGTAGTGTAAGCCAAATTCTTAAACTAACTCTCTCTCTCTCTCTCTCTCTCTCTCTCTTTCTCTCCATATATATATATGTTTCTGGAGATACATTGCCCATAACTTCTGTCTTATCCTCCAAAAAAGCCCATGGCCCCCAAAGAGCAACCAAATATTTCCTTTGGCATAATCTGCACACACACACACACACACACACACACACACACACACACACACCCTACTGGTTCCGTCTCGCTGGCGAACCCTGACTCCTACAGTCCCCAGCTACGTGGTAGAACATTCTGTTTCTTCAGTCTGCTCACAGAGAACAGCCACAATGTACAAGGACATCAGCACACAGACCTCTTGTTCACCACCTGTCCCCTTACTATCTTATTCTTGGCAAATTTTCCATGACAATAGGATGGGACATGTTTTTCTCTGATTTGGGACTTTGCTTTTGCGGGAAGGGGTGGGATGGTCTGGGGACTCTGTGGGGTTGGGGGACCTAGCACAGTCGGCAAATGGAAATCACAGCCTCCCATTGATGAGCTGTGACCCCAGCAGCCTTGACAGGCCAAATATAGATTTGGTTCCTCTTTGGGGCCATGGAGTTTTTGGAAGACATCACAGAAGTTATGGGCAACATCCCCAGGAAGAATTCTCCTGCCCACACCCATCTCCAGGGATGTGCAGGTCCCCTGAAGAGCAGCCGTGCTGCTGGAGGAAGAGGCCTCCTGCGTGGGAGAAGGCACCGGAGTTTTAGGAGCTCAGTAACAGCAAAGATGAGCCGGAGTACCCAGGCGGCAGGACTCAGCCAAAAGTCAACCAGCATTTCCTGAGCACCCGTGCCAGGCTGGGTGCTGACAGAAAAGGGTGACCAAGCTCAGGTCTGGAAGGACAGAGGCAGGGAAGAAAGAAGGAGGGAGGGACAGCGAGGAATCTGACCTTCTTTCCAAAAGAGGCTTAAGAGACGAAGTAGTCTCTTGAGACTGAACTAGACAGTTAACTTTCCCCGGGAGCTGCGGAATGGGTCTCGAAGTAACTCCCAGCACTCCTCCTCCAGCATCTTAGCTCCTCGAATGTAGCATAAATGACCGTACTCAGAGAAACTTCCATCAAAGATAAAGTAGGAGCGTTGAGTCTATCTTCATGCAGCTGGATGGGCCATGGGAGGAAAGACGCTGAAAGGTGAAAAGCACCCAAAGTTCAAGACCCCCGATGGAGGCACAAGAATGAAGGCTCCTTCAGGTGCCCAAAGCAGCCGCCACTGGGACAGTGAGAAACCACAGCTGGTGGAGCAGTTGGGAGAGTGAGGCCAGTCCATTAACGGAGAGGGCATGACAGCCAGGAGACAGGAACTCGCGCGAGGTGGGGTTGTGACCAAATGGTCACATTTCTAGAACCGCTGGAAAAGACTGTCACCTGCTTCCGGTGCCTCTTTTGCTCAGTTCAGTCACTTTATTAGATTCCCCCGAGTTCCTCAGGGTCCAGGTTCCCTGTCACTACAGCCCATTTTCTCAAGCTGCAGTCTTGTCTGAGGTATTTTAAAGATGGCAAATAGACCTATCTACGCTTCCACAGGGTTTCAGGAAGGAAGGGAAGAAGGGAAAGAAGGGAGGGAGGGAGGGAGAAAGGAGGCCATTCAGTAAATTCTGCCTCATAAAAATTATTCTGCCTGTCTAATCTCCAAACGCTCAAGTCTGGCTATTGTCATTCTTGTTTCCAAGTAGCTCAGGAGACGCATGAACACCAGATTTAATCCTTCTTTCTTCGTGTTTAAATTGAACCAGGGTGAGGAAGGAGGGGAAGAGGTAAATCACACTTTAGGGGGAAGTTATCAAGTTGGCTGTCCTGGAAAAAGTCAAAGAGCCGCAGCTTCATTTCAGGACCAACTCACCATCATGAGACAGGACTTCAGACAGATCGCAGGGTGTATGAGACAGAATTGCAAACAGATCGCAGGGTGTTGGTTGAGACTCAAGTCATCGCTTCCTCCCCAGCCAGTGCTCTGGGGCTTGGGGAACGGGCAGCGAATGAGACGGTCTCCAAATCTTCTCCCGCTGCCGCCACCCCAGGTCCCTGCCTGTCATTCCATTAGCTTTCTTCTTTCTCCTTCTAGAGTCACAGCTGGGGATTCTGGCCAAGACAAGAACTCAGTTCCTGGTGACTGCCCAGTGCCTTCCATTCTACGAAGCGAATTTGGTCAGGACTCAATGCCAGTGGGCTAAGAATCAGAAAGGGCAGTGCTAAGGTGCAGGGGCTAAAAGGAAAGGTGACTCCCATCACTGTCTGAGGATAGGGGGCAATTGATGAAGGACAACACGCATGGCTTCTACCTTCCCCACAGAGGGAGAGAAGCCGGGAGGCACCCCTCATCGTCTCTGTTTCAGGTGAATGCAGCCCAGCCAGCAAATCTGGCTATCATACTACAGAGTGGGACCCAGGAGAAAATGCAAAGGTGCAGCTCTTGGTTCAGAAGGTATTAAGGATTTCAAGACAGTAACAGCAGGACATTAAGCCGAGCCAGAGTCCTGAGTGTGGGTCCCTGTGCAAGTGTCCTGCTGGCTCAATGTGAAGTCACCCTGCCTGCCCTTCTAACATGATGGGGTGATGTTCCAGACCTATCCCGGATGTGATTAGAGGTCTTGTCCCCAGGTCGGAAAGACCTTCCACCCCGTCGAGTTTACTACCCTCCGCTGCACTTCATTTTTCAGGTGCCCGTGATACAGGTAGGTGAGTGAGCTGCATGGAAGCTGCTACCGAGGGCTCAGAGTACGGGGCTTGTGGATAAAGGAACCGTGAGGAACATGAATCAAGGTGGCTCCGGACACAGTGGCAAAGTAGCCTTTACAGGCTTCCAGGGGTTTGCATTCACAACCATCTCTTAGTTCCCAGCTAAGAATCCCTATTAGGGTGCAAGCTGGGGTCCCAAGAGATCCCACAAACACCCAGAGAACAGAACTTAGAAGCGTCTGGTCCAAGTCCCAGATCTTAGAGATGAGAAAGCAAATCCCAAGGGGTTGGTGACCCAAGCCAGGTCAAGCCCTCTGTATGGCTTGCAAGATGACATGTCTACAGAAGGGGTTCCCTGAACACTGGGAGTCACCAAAGCCCCCCATGTCACAGCTACACTCTCTCCACATGACCCCAGGAGAAAGCTGACTTCCCCACAGGACAAACCCCAAGCCAAATTCAGGATGGTGCAGTGTACGTCCTAGGAGAAGAGAGCTCCTGAGGACTGCAGGAGCGAAGGAGAGGCCCTCTGTGGCCATGGCAGTGGGCGACCAGAGCCAGCCTGCAGAAGGTCCTGGACGAGCTGAGGAGAGGTCACCCTGCCTGGGCGCCCAGGTGGGCCTTCCAGGAGGAAGGGAGCCTGTCCCAGGAAAACTCCCCCCCCGAAGTGAACTGCACAGGTTCTCTCAGGCTCAGCTAAAGCCGCCCTTAGACTCCCTGGAGAGCAGTACGCTTTCAAGGGGTTGCGAACCCCTTGGATCCTGGTGGGGTCAGCAGCAAGTATGAGCCCCCTTATCCCCTGAGGAATGAGATAAACTTTCGGGGCTTCCTCTATCTCAGAAAAGAAGCTCAGAGAGACTTCTCAGGTATCTAATCCCTCTGGTCAGTTCCCTTCACTCAGAGGGAGGACTCCCCCTTCCACAGGATCAAGCTCAGGATTGAGTTTCTCTTGGGTCAAGCCCTCGGGGGGATGTAGGTCATACCGATGACCTGCAGAAGAGACCTGGCAGGAGGCCCCAGCAAGAGCTAAAAGCTGTGCCAGGGCAGGCTCTGGGCTGACTGAGCAGGGCTGGGGTGGAGTGAGGTCCTCCTGGGAATGCACAGATGTGGGCCAGGCCTGGGAGCCACGTTCCCCACCGTGCAAGGCTGACTTACTCGGGTGTGTTGATCCAAATGATGTCCAAATGGCAATAGTAGACACACTCCTTGTCCTTGTAGGTGAAGCACGTGCAGCGCCTGGATCGGTGGTGCTCAGGGGTCCCCTTGGCAGCCTGCTCCTGCCCAGGGCTTCCAGGACTTGGACCCTGCAGAGCTGTGGGGGCCACAGTCCCCTCGACAGGGCCAGCCCCAGTCTCCTCACAGTCCCCCTCAGATCTGGCTGCAGTGGGGGCCTGGGACACTCCGCGCCTGCCAGCATCCCCAGACTGGGAGCAGGGCACCAATCCTGTAGGAGGCAGATGGAGGGGCTTCTGAGCTGAGTGTGCAGACCCCTCAACACCCGCCACCCCCAAACACCTAGGAGGCGGGTGGAGCAGACAAAACGTCTGCAAAGTTTCCAAAGCTCTGCGCCGTTTCTGAAAAATATCCAAGCTATCTGCGTGTTCTGTGAAAAGCCTGCAAGCTATCTGCACCCGCTGAAAACTTTGCAAGCGTTTTGCACAGCCTCTCAATAGTTCGCCAACTTTCTGAAAAGTCCCCAGTTTCCTGAAAAATTGACCAAGTCGGCCCAGGCAGCAGGTCTCCAGCCCGTGAGCGAGCTGCAACCCCCAGAGCCTGTGGGGATAGTAGTTGCGTGCGGCTTCTGCTCCCCAGCCCGCCCCCAGGCGTCTTCAGGAGTGCAGAGCCCAGGCAAGAGTTTGCTCCGTGCAACGCACATCTTCTCGGTGCCTTGGATCCCCCGCCCTAGGTCCTTTTGTGTGCACTCGCGCCAGGAGAGGCGCACCCGCCCCGTGCGCTTACCTGCGGCGGAGGTCACGGTGAGCCCGAAAAGGAGCCACAGCCCCGGCTCCATGAACCCAGATCAGGCGCCGGAGCACCGTGCCAGAAGGACGGCCGCTTCTGGCCGCGAAAGGGCACTGGGGCCAGGCACAGCTGGCCTCGCCCTCCAGCGGCGGGGGTTCGAGGCTGGCCGCTCACTCGCTGCGTCTCCAGCTCCCGCCAGGAGTTGGCTGCCGCGGTCACAAACTTTCAAAGCGAGCTGCCCATCCCTGCGCGGAGCTGGCCGGCTGTGGGCTCGGGCTTTTCTGCCTCCTGCAGCACCCTCGTCGCCTCCCCGCCCCCCAGAGGGGCTGGAGCTGCCTTGCGGAGCCTTTGAACCCGGGCACACCGGGGGTCGCCTCCCAGGCGCTGGGGGGAGCTGGCCAGGAGCGCAGCGGCCCGAGGCGCACCCAGGACAGCGAGGGGCGGGGGCGGGGCGGCGCGGTGCGGCTGGGTGGGGTGGGGTAGGGTGGGGTGGGGGCCGGGACAGCTGCCAGCTGCCGGAAGGCCACGAGAACGCGCGCACACACGCACGCGCGCGCACTCACTGGCGCACCCCCGCCCGCCAGTTCGCTGCTCCGGAGTAGCAGCCCCCGCCATCCAAGAGCAAGAACAGATGAAGAAAGGCTGTGCAGAAGGGGGTGTTACTTTTCTATCAGGGGCTGAGGGAAAGACACATTTCTCAGTGTTCCCCGAGTGACACCTTCCCCTCAGAGAGCCTGCTTGCCAAGGCGCTCGGTGTACTTTACACTCCTGACTCACGCCGGGCAGGCTCCCTACCTCTCCCAGGAGTTCAGAGCCTGCGGGTGGGGCAGGGGCCCGGGAGCAAAGTCAACAAAGATCCTGGGTTAGCGGTCCTGTGGTGTCTGGGGCTTCCTCAGCCCTCTGCACAGGTGAGGTGGCTTCAGGTCAGAGTCTGGCTCCTCTCCCTAAAAGCCAAGTTCATTCACACAACCGTCCCCACCATGGGAGATGGCCTCCCAAGAGCCCCCTGTTTCCTTCATAGCCTTCCAAGTCCTATGTGTGGGTGGCTGTCCCCATCTCCACCTCAGATAAGAAAGTCTGAGACTGGGAAGTCCTCCTTACTTCTCAGGGCACTTGTGTTCAAAGGACCCTCCTTTCATAACAGATGGGCTTGGGGTTAGACTGGGGGCGGTGACTTACATCTGTAATTCCAGCTATTTGGAAAGCCAAGGTGAGTGGATTGCTTGAGCCGGGGAGTTCAAGACCAGCCTGGGCAACATCGCGAGACTTCATCTCTAAAATATGGGGCTGAATCCTGTCCTGCCCCCTACCAGCCTTAACAATCAGCTTCTGAAAACTAGAAAGCAGCTGAAGTAACTAGAGCAGCTTCTGAGGAGAGTCCAAAAAAGTGCTACAACATCCACCTGGCTTGAAGGCTCGGGACACCTGTCCTCTGAACACAGCTGCAGTGGCTGAAGGAAGCCCTAACAAGCCCACTTGGAGAGATCACGTGGAGAAACGTACGTGGAGAGAAACTGAGGCCTCCCAGCCGACGCCCAGTGTCAGCCACTGACCTGTGAGTAAATGAGCTTTCAGATGATTCGAGCTCCCAGCCCTCAAGATTTCCAGCTGAGGAACAGCGGTCCCACTGTCCAAATTTCCCACCCACACAATCCGTGAGCATGATAATGGTTGTTTGACAGCATAAACTCTGGGTAATTGGTATGGAGCCGCAGTTACTGCGGTAGCACTCAAGCTTACAGAATTGATGCTGAGGCTGGAGTTCTCCATCCCCCGACCCCCCTCCCATCCCGCCTAGCCCTTGAATCCAAGTCAAGGTGCTGAAAGAAGTGGAGAGTGAAGGACACCATCTTTTAGAGTTACTTCCCACCAAGCAGGACAAATGCTCTGGGGAGGGGAGAGGTTGGTTTTTTTTTGTTTGTTTGTTTGTTTTTCCTTGTACTTGATGCTTTGAAAATAAGAAAAAACCAAGACTCACAGTATCTTCTGTTCCTACTGGGCTAGGATTTGGATCACTTTAATATGGTCTTTGTTTGTGCAGGCTACTGTAACAAAATACCATGAACCGGGTGGCTTGTAAGCCACAGAGTTTAATTTTTCACATTTTTGGAATCTGGAAGGCCAAGATCAAGGTGCTGGCAGATTCAGGCTTTAATGAGGGCTCGATTTCTGATCATGGATGGTGACTTCTCACTGCATCCTCAGATTGTGGAAGGGTCAAGGCAGGTGTCTGCGGGTCTCTTTTCTAAGGACACCAATTCCATTCATGAAGACTGCACCCTCATGACCTCATCACCCCCCAAGGGCCCCACCGCCTGACATCATCCCCTTAGCAGATAGGATTTCAACAGATAAATTTGGAGAGGACAAATATTCAGACCATAATAATTATCTCTTTCCTTGGAATTAAAATTTCCATCTCCAACAAAATAAAAAGTTCTTGGATTGGGGGATGGGTGAAGGAATAGAAAACACACGAATCAACTAGAAAGAGAAAAGGAGGAGGAAGAGGTTTCCAGGTACCATGTTCAGACACAGGCAGTATCACGGCTGCTTAGACCACTCTCTGGGCCTATGGCCTTCAGAAGCTTGAAGCCAACCACCACATGGGGACTAAAAATCAACATACCCTGGATGAGCCTCTCAGGCACCAGGAGGTGCTGGCCAAATACAAGGACAGAGCTGACCCTGCCCTCAGGGTCTTCTACTCTAGTTGAATTAAGGAAGTTCAGGGATAGATTGCCAAGGATCCAGGATGCTGAGAACATAAAACGCTGCACAGAGCTGAGAGAAGAAGACAGTGTGTTCATCTGGGTGGTCAGAGGAGGCAGCATTTTCCTTGGTCCCTAAAGCAACCCGGGTGTCATGATTTCAGGCGGCAGCGTGCGATGACACTCACCGACACCAGCTCTCAAACGAGAGAGCTCCCTTTCCTGCTCTTCTTCTGGCATTTTACTATGGCCAGGGCAATGACTCCATCAGATGTGTCTAACAGCTCTCTAACAAACTCCCGTTTTGTACAAAGGGATAGCAGGCCACAGGCTTGGAGCCTTTGTCAGGCGATGGAATCGAGCTTACTGTGCATGGTAGTGATTGATATAAATTTCCTTTCTAAATTAATATACTTAAGTCAAGAAAAGGTGACGTCAAATATGAACTAGTTCGTTGTAAAGCCAGCTTGGAGACTTGGCAAGATCACAAGCCTCCTGGGTTCCGAGCTAAGCAATGTGCAAAGGAAAAGTACAATTCATGTAACGCAGTGGCAAGCTGGTGGTTTCCATCATTGTGTTGTGACAACTCAAAGTAAGTTATACTAACATTATCCCCATCTCACAATTTAAAAACTAAGGCTCAAAAAGGTCAAAGAAACCAGCCTACAACCATGCATCTATTAAGTGGCAGTCAACCAGGATTCAAAATTGACTCCACATGATTCCAGGGACAGAGTTCATAACCCTTGAGCAGTGCCGCCTTTGGAACTCATACCCAGGGTTTTCATGGTTCCTGTTTTCTTCTGTGTATCATTGACAAGTCACTGCCTCTCCATCTGTCTAATTTCCATCCCAGAATCTCTGATGGAAGATCATGTAAAGGAATGATGACCTCTGGATAGGACACGAATGAATGGGCGCTCTTCTCCCCGGAAGTCTGCCAATATTCCTTGATCCCCTTCACTGCCTCAGCATCCAATGTGCCTCTAGGAGAAGTCACGTATCAGGACACTGCTGGGACTTAGCCAAGTGCACAGCTTGGTCATTGTGTTTATTTTTTCTCAACTATTTCCAAGTCACCAGATGTGCGACTGTTACTTTGAGACCTTACCCCTTACGTTTTGATTCAAAACCCAGCCGTTAAGAATATTGCAATTTATCTCAGATAAGCATCCCCTCCAGTTGTCTCTTTATGTGCTTTATGATTCTTTGAAGATTGTTTTTCCTTTAATTTAAGAGATTTAAGGGAGAGTAACATAATACGCTACGTAGTTTTCCATCATGCTGGAATTTCTTCTCCCCACCCACCCACAACAGCAGGAACTCTGGACTTACTCAGAAATCAAGTAATTAAGTGCTTTTCCATGTTGCTCCACTCTTAGCTGTGCCTCCCCTCATCGGCACGTGGTTCATTCTAAGATGCACTGGAGGAAGTGCCAGGCTCCAAATCCCTTTCTTTGTAAATGACATACATTGTATATAAAACTCCCAGTGAAATGAAATGATCACAATGCATTTTGAACTTCAGTGCTATCAGTAAAATGTGGCCAACGCCTGACAGAAATCAGGTGATCCCAAAAGGAACAAAAATGATTCAAGAGAGTCCTGAAGTGTCTTCCTGTGTTTTCTGCTGTAGACATTTGCTGTTGTTGGCCTGCCAGTGTCCCATCCCTCCAGTTCTGGGTAACGGGCCACATCGTCCCCTGTGGAACTGCCCCTCCCCTTCTCTGTCCATGTGGTTTCAGAGGGTGCTCCACGGCCAGGCTTGTGACTATGGACTAACTAATCAGACCATCACGTCATCTTTGAGATGGGAAGAATAATGCTACTCAAAGACGTCCATGTCCTAATCCTCGGAACCTATGAATATGCCACCTAACTTGGCAAAACAGATTTTCAGGGTGTGTTTAAAGACACTGAGATGGAAGATGACTCTGGACTGTTGGGGATGGGGGAGGGGTGGGCAATGTAATTTTTAAAAAATGTTTTTATAAGAGAGAGAGGGAGAGCCAGAGTCAGAGAAGATGTGACAATGGAAAGAGAAATTGGTGTGGTACGAGGCCATGAGCTGAGGAATGCAGGCAGTGTCTAGAAAATAGAAAAGGCGAGGGAACGAATTCTCTCCTTCAGTGTCCAGAAGGCATACAGCCCTTCCAACCCGTTTTTAGATTTCTGACCTCCAGAACTATAGGAAGATAAGTTGGTATTGTTTTAAACCACTGAGTTCATGGTGATTTGTTACAGCAGCAGTAAGAAATTAATACAACTTTAAATACAGTGATTGTCCAGAGATAGGCCCATGAGCCAAGCCAGGCTGCTCAGAACCCAGGTGATTCAGTTCTGGGACTTCAAAAAGAGACTCTTGTGTTTTTCTGGGGAGCTGCTGAGAAAATCAGATGGAAGCTTGAGGGTGCCAGCAGTACCTGTCATCATGAGGTGAAAGGTCTCTTTGGGAATGCTGCCAACACAGAGACATCAGCAGAAAGTAGAAGTAGGGAATCGAAGGTAAGTCATAAGCCCTGGAGCCAACATGGCTCCCTAGACCTTGCACCTACATCAGCCACGACATCTCCAACTTCAGTGATGCCAGTTCAAGTCCGCTTTCTTCCACTTGCAGTCGAAAGCATCCCGATGTGTTTTGTCTCAGCTTACTGTAATAGTGGAGTTGGTTGTCAAGAACATGGATGCTGCTGACGGTAATTGTCTCCAGAAGCATCAGCGGAAC